CCCCAAAACCCCAAAACCCCAAAACCCCTGAATGAAAATTTACACTATATATCGAACAAATTATATAAATGAAGTAATGAAATAAAGATTAAAATTCTATTATCAGCATCATTATATCATGGAGTCTTGGAGCATATCAGATTTTGGTTTCTTGTTGTCCAATTTCTTTACCTTTTTGTCCTCTTTTTTTTACTTTTTCTGTAGTTTTTTTAGCTTCTTCATTTCTTTTCTTTCCTTGGCTTTTGTTTCCTTGAAGAATCCTTTTTACTTCCTAGTTTTAAGTTTTCTACAGCAACGGACAAGATGAGAACCTTCTATGTAAGAAGTACTAAGGCTTATCTCTGAGCCATTCATATTCCAGAACTACTCCTCATAATCCATAAATTCCTTTTCATCCTAAGAGTTTATCATAAGTGAAATAACTGATAGAAATTAAATCTTCTTTACAAACTTATTCTACATAATGTCCTCTTTGTAGTTTTCTCTGAATATCTCAAATTGTTTTATATCTCCTTAGACACACTCAAATAGGATATCATCGACGTCTTTAAGTTTAAAGTCTAAAATATCCTTTGTGTGAATGATTTTGTCTTTATTCTTTTTCTTTAGCTTAGAGTTAGTGTAAATAAAGTCTAATAATGCTTTTTCAATAGGTAGTTTCAATTTGAATCGTTAATTCACAGCAATTATAAATCTTTCAATATATGCATCTATCAGCAAGCTAAAAAGAGACTCAGCAACTTTACTAGCAAATCTTTCCTCTAATGTCATTTTTTAAACTTCATTAAGATATCCATGAGCGCATTAAAGAATTTCCTCCATAAGATCACTAGAGTTTTCCTTCCACTCATTAGTAAAAAAGTTAATCAAGTAATCCTATTCAATTTCTGACTTTATAATGAATAGTGCTACAACTTCTGTTATTTGGTTAGTGTGAGCAATTAGTTCGCGAAAATAGTCATCGAATACATTCTCAACTCTATCTCTCAATTAATCACCTACTACTTTTACACATCTGTCTTTGAATTTCTCGAAATCATTCATTACCTTTGTTAAATCGTTCATTCTTATGATCAAAGTCATAAGTTCACTTTTCTTTTTCGGTTCAAAATTTAAGCTTTTCTCAACAATGTGTTATACTAGACTCACTAGCACATCTAGCATTCTCTTCATGAATTCAAATAGTTTTTCACCTTTAAGTGATTACTAAATGACATCAAGCTAGGTATCCATGAATTCATAAATGTCTGAGTTGAAGGTAGTTTCATATTTGACTTACTTTTTCTTTTTCATTTAAACTTGATCTATCAAAGTATTTTCCTAAGTTTTTTGTTCATCTAATATTCGCTACATACTCTCATAAAACTTTTCTTCTGCATGCTCCATAAATCTTGGATAAAACTCTTCCAATCTCTAAAAATAAAATAGTTGAAATATTTGAGAATTTAAATAATAAATGCTTACAAATTAAAGGTTAAAGAAGACTTCATCTTGGTGATTGAATTCTGTGAGAGTACTCTAGCAGGTTTAAACGAAAGAATTAAAGTAAAGTATGATGCTTGGATCTTGATTTAGTAATTCATCCATTTTTACCAAGAATGAATCAAGTTTCTCTACTAAAACCTAAAGATATCAGGAAATTTTTTCAATATACTTTCTTATAAGAATCAAAGTAGAACTTAAAAATTTCATAGTGAGGTGGAAAGCATGGTACAACTATCTTTATTACATATTTCAAGTCTTGTATTAATGCCTCAGAATACTAAAGTACAAGCATAAACTATTTCTAATTCGTTTCACCAGATAGTTCTTGATAGAATTCTTAGGCTCTAGTCCTTATAGACTGCCTTAGCAAGCTCATACATTTCTCTTTTAAGGAATCTTGCAATGGTAATGCTTCCTAAATTTTTTCTTGATTTTAAGCATTTCTTTCTTTCTTAGCTTTTAATCTAATTGATAAATTTGAGCAAGAAAATTTAACTTACTTTCTCAGAGGCTATTCAATATTTGAATCTCTCGGTACATCTATTTAATGCTTCATCTCCTCTTCTTGTTCTTACTATACAATTTTATATAGAGTTGAAGTACCTCCAATTTCTCTTTAAGGGATTGATTTGTTGTCTCTTCATTCTCAATAATTCTAAGAAATTTGACTAAGAGAGAAGGATCTTTCTTAGCTAATTCATGTGCATTCTAAAATTAGCCGTATATTATCTCCTAGAACTATTTTTCTAGGTCCCCTACTGCTCTGAAATGATCTTTAATCTTCCTTAATTTGCTTTGTTAACTGTTAGATGAGATCTCCTCTTAGATATAATGCTAGGTCTGTGTCTCTCTTAGCCTTTCTGATCTGATGACTGCTCCTCAATTCTTTTTAGAAAAGATATTCTCATATAGTTCATGATCTTTATCTTCTTATAAACATCAAATATTTCATCTTTATCATTTAGTTTTCCTTTAAGTTCCTCTACCTTTTCCTCAATATTCAAGAAGTTTTGAAGCATGCTCATAACTCTTTCTACATGTCTTTTAGTAATGAGTAGTGTGTCAACTTCACTTGAGATATCAGAAAACTTTCCACAGGATTACTGCCAGATGTCTCTTATTGCTTCTATTTTAATACGTATCTCCTTTGTAACTTATTCTTTTTCAGTAAGTTGCTGTATACTTTTTGACAGATCTTAAACCTTTTTCTCAATATTGAAAAGAAGTTCCTTATCAACTTCCTCCTTTTTAAGTTCATTTTCTTCTCTTAAGTACTATAGAGATTGATAGTTTAATCGCGATTTGACTATAGTCTTTAAGTGTTCTCTCGCAGCTTTTCAAGCTTCCTCCTCATTTTTAAACCTCAGATGCTGCAATTACTAAAGTTGCAAAAGTTCTTTTTCCATTTGATATCTTTGATGTTATAATTATTATCATAATTATTATTCTTATTTCAGCTAATCTTTTGGTTAATCCTTTGGGGTTTTGGGGTTTTGGGGTTTTGGGG